GCTTCAGAAACAGGAACATAATGAGACTATTGCGAAGCTTCTCGTCTCTGCAGGGTGGTGCATCATAGCGTCTCTTATCCCAGGCCCGTAGGTTCTTCATAAGCACATCACGACTGATGCTGAGGCCGCGCTGAGTGGATAGTATTCGTAGGATCTCTTGGTACTCGGTGCCTTGGTCATGAAGGCTCAGGATGAATTCTCTATGCGACTCTACATCTTTCTTGGGGCGTCCCATGATTGGTATCGTAGGAATGAGCTGGGAGCAGACGTATGAGGCCAATTGGATGTGTGGTTATTGATTGCGTTGGTACAAGGAAGAATGATTAGATGTGGTGGGGTGGCGCAAAAAAAAAAAAAAAAAAAAAACATTGGTCATTGTCGACCACCCCCGGGGTGCTTCTAAACCTCAGCCAACGCTAGTGTACAGTACCGGAGAGCCATTAGGCCGACCCAGCCACATTCCCCTGATTAGTAAGAGATTGCAGTAGTAAATAGGGGACACGTCCTGGCTGATCTTACCGTCTTCCCCCATACCTCGCCGTCGCCACCCTCTACCCTCCCACCCCTCCCACACCTCGCTATCGTCAAATCTTCGCGTATACCATTCCCAATAGCCTTAATGTCGTAGCCCCGCCTCGTACGCCAGCCCCCACAGTATGAGGGCTTTGAGGATATCTAGGAGGAGCTCGATTGGTATGCTAGTAACCTCGAGGGTATTGATCGAGACCGCACCCCGGTACTCGAACGAATTTTTACTATTCAAGGAAGAAGATAGTAGCCCCAGCGATGGCGAATGGAGTAGACCTACATATTCTGACGCGTCCAGATCACCGTCGCCCCCCTCGAAGCCCTCTACCTCCCCCTCCTCCCACAAACGTAAGGCGTCTACCTCCCTAGACGAGCGGAAAGAATACCCCCGGAGCTGGCGTCAACAATGCTGAAGTTACCCCCTCATACCCCAGAGACGCGTCAAGCTACTTTCTCGTTAGGCACACCTATTTACTAAACAGTTAAAGAATTCGACGCGTACTGGCCTTTGGTGGACAATTTCTGGGTATGCAATAAGCCCATGATGGGCATAATATAGCCAGATTAGAGGTGCCTCCGGGGTGGCATCGCATGGAGGATGCGGAGTAGATAGCCCCCCAATGGAACCCCCAATGGAACCCCTCTATGGCGACAGCGAGGTGTCCCTGAACCCCCCATAGTAGACTGCCAACTCCGCTGCATCCCCTATATAAATTCCGCCCTGACAGGTAGCAATATAGGCGGACTGCGATGGCTAGCCTAAAAGCCTTCCTCGCCCTATTCCCCGCCCTATTGTAAGTAATAGCGAGGTCGCTAACGACGACAACGATGTCTCGGCGACGTCGCGCCTTATTTTGGTGTGGCGCCCATACAAATATGGCGCAGCCACCCTGAAACTATGCTAACGGTATTTTATTTAGCATTGGCTGAGGTATAGAAGCACCCGAACAGAGCGTATCTACTCTCTAGAAGTGCGGCTCCTAAATTTATATAACTTCCGAGCTTGCGGTGATTGGAGGGAGATTGCTCGGAATTAACCTTCTTACTCATTAGATTTTGAGAGAGTAGGCACTTTTAGGGGAGTAGGCTCTTTGAAGAAGTAAGCAAGAGGGTAGACACATACTTTTTAAGACCTCACATACTTAGAATCCCTGCGGTATAGAATTCGTATATATCCGAAAGTGCCCGATACCTGGTAATGCCCGATTTGAAATCCGATAAGTTCGGCGCAACATCAAAATATGAGTATTGTTTTTGATTTTACAGAGGTCTGCACCGAAAGTCCTGCACCCGCACTAGTGCAGCCCTAACCCTACTTTCGGAAAGCGGCCCTGTAGAGGGGAAGCCTAGAAATATCTTCTCACAGCGCATGGATGGGACTTTAGGTACTTCTTTTGGCTTGATACGGGTATTAAGCCCCGAAACCTGGCTAGGGCTAGGTGCGATTCCGAAGAACTCTAGACGCATTGTCCAGGTAACCCTTTAGGTGGGGCGTTATCCGAAGTCTGAGCGCAAGAGTCTTGGCGGGTGCAGGACTTTCGGTGCAGACCTCTGTACTATATATCTATTTAAATAAAACGTTATACTATATCGAGACTCTATAGTATAATAGAATATTATAAAGAATAGTTTACTTATTTATAACTAGCTATTAGCTTCGCTAATAGATAAGTTTAATTCTTTTAATCGTCTAAAAACTATAGATATAATTATTTACGAATTATCTTATTTAAATTCTCGTATAATAAAATACTAGTCTCTCTAAATCATTTATAATCTAATATTTAAATTCTATTTATATTTATTATACCTCCGCGTAGTTATTACTAATAAGATACTTTTAAATAAGCTTTTTAATATTATTTTTTTAATACTTTAAAATATTATTTAAGATAGTAAGTAAGTAAGTAAGTAAGAATATAAATAAGTAAGTAACTATATATACGAGTATAGGAGTTTTAATTTAAAGAGATTTAGTAAAGAAATAAAAGAATAATAGTTAAATATATATTTTAATAAAGTATAATTATTTAATATTTAATTTTCGAGTAGAGAAGAGATCTTATAATAATGCGATATAATTAATTTAATTTTTTTTAAGCTAAATCGAGTTATAAGCACTAAACTTTAAATTAATATTCTATAATCTTTTAATAGATTTCTCTATAATATATTAGATAGTTAATAGCGATTAAGACTATCGATAGCGATAGTAAAGTCTATAAATATCGTAATATAGCTTTAAAAGATCTTTATAAGTATATTAATAAGAGGAATATACTTAATAGCTTTAATATAATAATATTATTAAGTAATAAAGATCTAAATAATCGATTTCTAAATATAAAAAAATAAGATCTTAAAGTACTTTCTAAAGACTTTAAATAAATTTAATTTATTTAAAAATACGATATTCGAGATTTTCTTAAATCGTCTATTAAATAATAGAGTAGATATTATCTATTATTTAAAATAGATATAGATCTATAATCCTATAAATCTTACTATAAATCTCTCTATAAGTTATTCTATAACTTATTCTATAAGTTATTCTATAAGCCTCTCTATAAGCCTCTCTATAAGTCTTTCTATAAGCTTTTCTATAAGTCTAAAATAGAAATAAATATATAAGTCTCGCTATATAAGTTAATTATCGAATAGATAAATTAGACGACTAAGAGAAGAACTTATTAATCTATAATTTTACTATAGTAAAAGAATTATATTTCTCTTTTCTTTCCTCTATTAATAACTTTATTAAAGGCTTTAAAGACTTCTAAGAAGATACTCTAGAAGAAACGTCTTAAGCTTATACTTACTAAATATTAATAAATCTTTTAAGCCTATAAAAATAGCTTAAATCGTCGAAAAAAGAAGTCTAGTATTAAATTAATTATATTATATTATAATCTTAATTCTATTACTCTTAGATAATATATTATTAATATTAGTTATTCTTATTAAGAAGTATATAAATAGAAATAGCGATTAAATTTAATAGAAGAGTAAGTTATAGAATTATAGATTTTGTAAATAATAAAGTAAGACTAGTCTATAAGAGTATCTCTTATTAATTATATAGCTAGTAAGATACTAGTAGCGAAAGAAAACTATAAAGAATTAGATATAAATTAAATATTTAATTTTCTAGAATATTATCTAAATCTAAAGAGTTAATTTAATTAGTTTTTAAATAAAGAGCGTTTTATAACTTATAATATAGAAAAGTTATTACGATAATTTTAACTTATTAAATTAATTATTTAGAAATATAATATTTAGAAGAAAAATACGTATAATATAAATAAGAAAGAATCTACTCTTAATATTATTAACGAGTAAAGGCCTATGAATTAAATTCATAATCATTTTTTTTGATCGGGGCTGTCGAGTAAATTTTGGTGAGCGATCTTTGGTGAGCGATATCTGAATTCCTTACCTTTAAATATCTATAAGACTAAATTTAGTAATTCTTTTTTTAACTGAAAGCCCACATTATACTCTATAGTTTAAATAAAAAAATTTAAAATTTTAATAGAAAACAAAAAGTTATTCTAAAATCAAATAATGTATACCTGTTTTTTTTGATCAGGGCTGTCCGGCTGTCGAGCGAACTCTGGTGAGCGATATTTGAATTCCTTGCGCTTTAATAATTATAAGACCAAATTTTAAAATTCTTAAAAATTCGGAAAGCGCAGACTGCGCTCCAAAATTTAAAATTTCAAATCTCGAAAAGTTAATAGAAAACAAAAAAGTTTTTCTATATGTTAATAATGTATACCTATTTTTTTGATGAGTGCGGACGCTAATTTGTTTACCCGCGGTGTCTGATTGGCTGCACATACAAATTCAAGGTTTTCTAGTTCAGCCCTACCTTATTCTTTTATATATACTAATATCAGTATATATAAAAGAATTAAATTCATGGAGTTGGATTTTTCTAAGTCAAATCGAATTTTAGCCCTAGCCCTAAGTTAAATCGAACTCTGATCGCTTGCTGTGCGTTTTTGACCTACTTCCACCACTATAAAATTGATTTAATCTATGTAGTATACAGGCATATATGTGCGGAGAGAGGCGCGCTAAGGCCTAATTAGGAAGGTGTAATAATTGCCTACAAAAAACAGAGAAAGGCCATGTCCTTATGGCAAGAAGTATCGAAATACCGGAAAGAAATGGAGACAACGTGCCAATTAGTGGTGTGAATCCCACAATATCTCCTGCCGCAGTGAAATTTTTCGAATAATGAAATAGCTATAGACATCGGACGGTTTCAATTCGTCCAAATATGCATCGTTCCGGAGTGATGATTTGATGTGGAACCGTGGAGAGCATATGACGTGGGATCTTGGAGAGCTGAGCCGTGTTCTTGACGATGGTGGCCTTGTTGCCGCTTGGTTTCTCCGCAGTGTTCTCCGCATTTGCCTGTTGTAGTTCCTCCTCTTACTCCTTAATGTAGTGGGGATGACAGGCTAAGTTGCAGTGGTGTTCTCCGCTTGCTGAGTGATGATTTGATGTGGAACCGTGGAGAGCATATGACGTGGGATCTTGGAGAGCTGAGCCGTGTTCTTGACGATGGTGGCCTTGTTGCCGCTTAGTTTCTCCCGCAGTGTTCTCCGCATTTGCCTGTTGTAGTTCCTCCTCTTGCTCCTCAACGCAGTGGGGATGATAGGCCAAGTTGCAGTGGTGTTCTCCGCTTGCTGAGTGATGATTTGATGTAGAACCGTGGAGAGCATATGATGTGGGATTTTGGAGAGCTGAGCCGTGTTCTTGGTGCTGGGGGCCTTGTTTCCGCTTGGTTTCTCCGCAGTGTTCTCCATAGTGTTCTCCGCAGTGTTCTCCGCATTTGCCTGTTGTAGTTCCTCCTCTTACTTCTTAATGTAGTGGGGATGATAGGCTAAGTTGCAGTGGTGTTCTCCGCTTGCTGAGTGATGATTTGATGTGGAACGGCCAAGTTGCAGTGGTGTTCTCCGCTTGCTGAGTGATGATTTGATGTGGAACCGTGGAGAGCATATGACGTGGGATCTTGGAGAGCTGAGCCGTGTTCTTGACGATGGTGGCCTTGTTGCCGCTTGGTTTCTCCGCAGTGTTCTCCGCATTTGCCTGTTGTAGTTCCTCCTCTTACTCCTCAATGTAGTGGGGAGGACAGGCCAAGTTACAGTGGTGTTCTCCGCTTGCTGAGTGATGATTTGATGTGGAATCGTGGAGAGCATATGACGTGGGATCTTGGAGAGCTGAGCCTGTTCTTGGTGCTGGGGGCCTTGTTGTCGCTTGGTTTCTCCGTAGTGTTCTCCGTATTCGCCTGCTGTAGATCCTCCTCTTGTTTAACTGAGTGCGAGGGTACCGAGGGTAAATGTGTTCATAGGGTGATGAAGAACGGATAGGGGAGGAAGACGCGTCTTGGGAGGTAGCATCGCTGGGTTGGAAGGCACCATCGCTGGCTTGGGAGGAGTATATAGAGGAGGACGATGGCTGTGAATCCGTTCGGGCTCTTTTTGAGGGCCTTCCAACGCGTTTATGAGTAGTAGTAGGTAGCTGTTGGGCTGCGGCCTCGATTGCCAGTAGTAGCGGATTCGCCGAGGGGTGGCCTGGGGGTGTTAGTAGGGCCTCTAAGAGGCGGGTAAAAGGGGTGTATGTGCCTGAACCGGACTCTTTTTTGAGGGCCTTTCAACGCGTTTATGAGTAGTAGTAGGTAGCTGTTGGGCTCGCTTGCGGCCTCGATTGTCAGTAGTAGCGGATTCGCCGAGGGGTGGCCTGGGGGCGTCAGTAAGGGGCTCTAATTGGGCGAGGGGTACCGAAGACGATTATATTTATATTGGTGGAATTGGTAGAATTGGTAGAATTGGTAGAATTGGTAGAATGGTGGAAGAATAATAAACAGGTGGAAGGATTATTATCCGATCCCGGACGCGTCTGGTGTGACTACCATGACTACCATATTTGAATGTTCATTTAATCCATCAATAGTAGGCCAAACTTCATAATTTTTACAGCGTTAGAAAGCGTAAAGCGAGCTCTACAATTTAAGGAATTATGAAGAAACTATATATATCGCAAGCTGAGTACTTCAAAGTGTAAAACTTCTACATACAAATTTTTGATGAGGGAGGCGCGGGAGGGCTACCGGGCTGACTCAGCCGGTCTAACCAAAGAGCGTAGCGAACCCGAATTGATGATTGGCTGCACATACAAATTCATTAAATTTTTAAGACTCCTACCTTATTCTTTTATATATACTGATATAAAAGAATAAGAAAGAACTAATCTAAAAAACCTTGAATTTGTATATACAGCCAATTATAAATTTAAGGTTATTACGCTCTTTGGTTAGACCGGCTAAGTCACCGCGAATAAACAAATTAGCGTTCACAATTATCAAAATCTCTTACTCTACTTTTAACCCTTTTAGAAAACTTTACTATTTTCTATTAAAACTTTAAGATTATTTTTTTAAATTATAGAACGTAAGTTGAAATTTCAAATAAAAAAAGAATTCTTAGATTTGGTTTTATAAACGTTTAAAGGTAGAGGATTTAAATATCGCTTATTAAATACTTATTTACTCTATTAAAAATATTCTTTCATATAAGCTCAGATAGTCGAATAGTAATAATTACAATAAAATTCGAGACTATTTCGCTTCGTTCTCGATTCGAATTCATAAATCTCCCTCGCTAAAAAATCGTAAAATCTTAAAACTCGCAAAATTAATAAAAATTCTATAAATTATAATAACAATAATAAAAATAATTAATAAAAATAAACTATAATAGATATTGAATTTAACTTCTTATTAATTTAAAGTTAATTAACTCTCTAATAAACTTATTATTAATATAACTTCTCTTTTTTCTATTAATTTTTTTCTATTATTTTTATTAATTATAGAATATATTTTATACTTTCTAATAATTTAAAATTTATAAAATTCGATCTTATAGTCCTAGGTGAATCTTAAATTAAAGTATTTTCACTCTTCGAGAGTCGAATTTATCTCGAAATTAGATTTAAAAATTAAATACTTTTTATAAATTTAATTTATAGGCCTAAACTTATAGAGTTAATAATAAAATAAAATATATCTTAAAACTCCGTCTTCGAGTTAAGGACTTCGACCCCTCTCGAAATCTCATCGAGATTTCTCGCTCTATTACGTAGCGTATAGATATCTAATAAAAAAAATCTATATAAAGATAATTACTTAATAGATAAAATAAACTTTATTCGATATATTTAAATAATAAGAAAGAGTACTATAATGGAAAAGAATATATAGTAAAAGAGTAAGCTATTTTCAATTCTATCGAAATATGGCCTCCGCGTATGATTAACGGAGTGGAATAGGGCGAGGTTTTAAATACTTAACACCACCCCGCTTCGGGTCGGGGTGGGGTTTTCCTACCGGGGTAACGGGGGCACCCCGTTACCCCGTCAAGCCTATTAGTTAGATTAGCTCGAGATCGTTACCCTCGTAACGTCCCCGTAGCGCCCCTCTAACACCTCGTAAATATATTCTCATATATGTTCTAAGTATCTTTCTAAGTATCTTTCTAAGTATCTATATCTTATACTCTAATTTAGACTATAACATTATATTCTATACTCTATTTTACTCTATTTTACTACATAATATCAAAATTTAGAGAGGTCGCTTAGGGGTACTTAGGGTTCACCGAGTTAACGGGGTATACCCCGAAACCCCGGCTGGGGGGGGTCGGTGTTTCGAGCTTCTCGAAACCCGACCCGACCTCCGAAACCCCGTCGGGGTCCCCCGCCCCGTTGCGCAGCGTACGCGTATCCCAGCTACTATATTTTCCAGTTATCTAATTTTATACTATATTTAGAACCCGGCCCCGAAGAGGTTTTTGAGAATTAATTCGTTTATTCTATATATAACATATCTAATATTTTAATAAATTCGACTATAGATTATTTTTAATAAATTAGAATTTAAGATACTAGAATTAAGATTTATTATATCTTTATCTCTAGAGATAATGATTATAGCATTTAATAGTATCTTTATATTTATATTCTTTATTTTAATAAACGTAAATTAAGTTAACTAGCTAGTTTAATAAATTAAAATTAAAGTATTTATTCTAGCGCTATTAGAAAAGCTTAGAAAAGTATATAATTTAGCGCTAGTAAATAATACTTTATTAAGAGTTATTAATAATAATCTTATTAAGATAAAATAACGAAAAGAAGATAAAATTAAGTACGAAAAAGAATACTAAGACGAAGAATAGATTATAAGTTTTAAAATTATTTAATAGCGATTAAAGAATATAGTTATAAAGAAATTTAAAAAGAAATTTAGAAGTATATATTATCTCGAATTAGCTCTTTTTAAAGATACGAAGAGAGATAGAAATTTAATTAAGAAAAAGACTACTATATCTCTTATACTAGGCCTATTAATATTATTAATATTTATTCTAATATAGTAATAATAGTAAGATAAAGAAAGATCTACTTCGTAATAGTAGCGAATCTTATCGTAGACTTTTCTATAGACTTTCTTATAGACTTTATTAAAGACTTTATTATAGTAATAATAGCGAGATAAAAGAGATAAAAGAGATAAAAAAGGCGAAAGAGATAAGAAGATGTAATAGAAGAAGATATAATAGAAGAAGAGATAGCGATAATTTTTTCACGAATCGATAAATCGATAAAGTTTAAAAAATAATAAATTAGATTCTTAGATATATTAATATTACTAGTAATAAAAGTCTAATATAGTTATATTAAGTTACTATAGAATTTTAATAAAAGATAGATATTTTAATATTACGTCGAACTTATCGAGTTTTAAATCGGATATTATTACTTTAAATATCGAGTACTTTCGAGTATATACGAATATCCCCTACGGTATAAAATTCTCTACGGTATTAAAGTCTCTGCGGTATAAAATCCCCTACGGTAATAAAGTTTCTACGATATAAAAGTTTCTACGGCATAAAATTCCCTGCGGTTTCCCGCGGGTTATAGCTCGATAGGGGTGAAAAAAGTTCGATAGAAGTGAAGCTTCGGCATATACTTACTTCACCTCAAATAAACTTATAGTATATACTAAACGTATTCGTTTTATCTCGACTAAACTCGATTTAAGTCGATAAAACTATAGTTACTTTATTCGAGTTATAGTATATACTAAGTATATACTATAGATTTCTTAATTTCTAACTACTATAATATAATAAATTAATAATTCTCTAATATTAATAATTATAATAGATAAACTATTAAATAAATCTATATATACTAAGTATTAGCTTCGTATATTCTATATATAAGAATTTCGTATCTCGAGACCCGCGTATCTCGAGGCCCGCGTATCTCGCACACGTCAAAATTGAATAATTTTTTTCAACCTCGATGAGATGTTAGCATATGCTAAGTATATTTCTTTTATCTCGAACGAGGTACATATATCTAGCATCTACTCACCTCTATCGAACTTTTTTTCACCTCTGCCGAGCTATAAGCCTAGTTTTCTACTGTTATAATAGTAGGAAATCAACTGCTACTACTGTTATGAATTCATGAGTTGAGTATAAGATGATAAGATTCTATAGAGGTCTATATCGAAAGTCCTATACCCGCACTAATATAGCCTTAATCTTACTTTCGAAAAGCGGCCCTATAGAGGGGAAGCCTAGAAATATCTTCTTATAGCGTATAAATGGGACTTTAGATACTTCTTTTGACTTAATAGGGGTATTATTCCTCGAAACCTAACTAGAACTAGGTGCGATTCCGAAGAACTTTAGACGTATTATCTAGGTAGCCCTTTAGATGGGGCGTTATCCGAAGTCTGAGCGTAAGAGTCTTAACGAGTATAGAACTTTCGATGCAGACCTCTGTATGGAGAAATCTAATATGTGCTGGGGCGCGGGCTACCCAGTAGTGAAAAGCTAGCTAAGTATTGTGGGAACACTGAGAATATCGCTATAATTAAACATGTTTACGGTACTATATTTAATTGATTCTCCGGATCGTTCCTATAACGATATCTAAGAAATAGATTATATCGTCGGTTAATCTTAGAATATATAAGACTCTTTATAGCCTTATGATCACCGTATCGAATTATAGTAGATATTGTCGAGTAGATATATATGTTACGATTAAATGCTAATCGTTCTAAGAAGGCTAAGTAAGACTCGTTCTACACTTAAGAGTATATATTGTCGAGAGCGTTAAGTAACTGCTCGTAACGTATCCCGTCCTCGTCCTCGTCCTCGTCCTCGTCCTCGTCCTCGTCCTCGTCGTCCTTATCCTCGTAGTCGTCGTCCTCGTCGTTCTTATCTTTACTCGTAGTAACGATATCGATAATATCGTTATATAGCTTTAGAACAGTATTGTGTTCGTAGAGAATCCGAGTATCTTCCAGCTATTCTACCGTACCCCGAAGCTCTTTATCTCGCTATTATTATTGAATACGAATAGAATTCTTCGAATAATGAGTATCGTAGTCTTATTAAGTAGAAAGACTATAATCTCGATATAAATCCCATACGTCAAAGGTTGAACGTTATATAGAATCTTGACAGCGAAATTTAAGATTACCGTATCGAAGAGAAGAATCGAGAAGAAGAATAGTAGACGATTTGTTAAAGCCTTCGAATATATATTAAGAAGATCTATAAGATGTTATAGGCTAAGATTGACAGCGTATTATAATATTATAGAGTATAGAATCTCGACGTTATTATATATTTTATTAATTTCTCTAAAATTATAGCTGATTTTGAGAGCGTAATTGAGAGAGGATATACTCATTTTCCTATTGTTAACGCTTATTTTAATAACGATTCGCAGTACGTATAATAGTAGAAGAAGAGATACCATAATCGAAAAGAGTTAATTAAGATATAATTTATAGAGATAGAGCCGCAGAGTTCTTTTGAAGAATGCTAGGAGCAATGATCTGATTGATGTGATATGACTTGATTGATTGTAAAAAAAAAAAAAAATTTTTTTTAAAAAATTTTTTTCTTCTAGCCTTGCTTGGCGAAAGCCTACTAGAAGAAAGGCCTTTCTTGGCAATCCCTAACAAGATGCCGGCACCAAAAATGAAAGCAACGTCCTCGTTGATAAGCAAGGTAGCAAGCAAGAAAACGGAAATCGGATTCGTCAAAACCCTTACGCTCAAGCATTCGCAATTCGCCTACTCCCGCGTAATACCATTCCTCCCGACGTTGACTCTGGCTTCCTCACCGGAATTTCCACCCTTACCAACGTCTGTTCCGTTCCTGAACGAGATCCCGAAGCTTCTTCCGGTGATAGGCGAGAACTTGAAGAAATAACTTTCCCGTCGCGAAGATCCGACGTCCTGAACGAGATCCCGAAGTTTCTCCCAGGAGTCGAGTCGTCGTTTGCGGCGTGTCATGCGGTGCTTCCTCGATGCTTCTGGGAGGTGCCGAAGCTTCTTCCAGGAGTCGAGTCGTCGTTTCCTGCGGCGTGGAATTCGGTGCTTCCTCGATGCTTCTGGAAGGTGCTTCCTCGATCCCACGGACGCCGGCATGCTCATTCTCATAGTCTCGAACCAATTCCTGAGCATTGCCGAGGTTCTTCACATTCATCCACTTGTCATGCTGTGGCCCAACCCTTTCCATTTGACAAGGTATTCCGTAGCAAAACCCTCCTTAGCGACGACGCGCTTATTCAGGAGTCGGTCGAGTTCCCAGGATCTGAAAGCCCGGTGTCGCCTTCGACGAAACAGAAGGCGGCTCGTCAGGGAGGCTGGGGACGAGTGTATGGATCGGTTTGAGGATCCGGGCATGGTTCCAACTGTGCTACGGTAAAAACCGGGTGCACTCTCCAGTTATTGGGGATGTCTAATCGATAGGCAAGACGCCCGACTCGTTCGAGGACCTGAAGGACCGACGAACTGCAAACCGTATTTTCTTCCGGTAAGCTGGTGGCTGGAATGTTATAGCCGCGGTGTAGCCGTAGGAGTGCGTAATCGCCTACACGAAAGAACTGAGGCTGATGCCGTCGATCGTAGTGAAACTTCGAATTCATCTGAGCAAAGGCGATAGCATCCGATGCTTCCAGGCGAGCGATGTTCTTGGCATCAGTTGCTTCTCATAGGCGCCGAGATCTAACGGCTGGTTTAAAGAGAAACCGTAGGAAACTTCATTTGGCGATTTGCTTAAAGGAGCAGAGATGGCGTTGTTGTAGCTTGCTTGGATAGCTGGAATAGTAATTGGCCAGGCTGCGACGTCGTCAAGCGTAGACATCCAGAAGCGAATAGCGATCTCGACAGTCTGGTTAGTGCGCTCACTGGACCCATCGGTTTGTGGATGATAAGCAGTCGAGTACAACAACTTAACGCCCAGCTTGGTGAAAAGAGCCTTCCACAGTTCACTAAGAAACTTGCGGTCACGATCCGAAATGATTTGCTTCGGTAATCCCCAGTCAATCTTTCGAAGTCGTCGGAGTAGACGATGTGCCCAATCCTCGGCAGTGAAAGTCGACTTGCCAGGAATCAATGTAATTCTTCTGGAAAATTTGTCGGTGACGGACATGATCACGTCGTAGCCTTTGGTAGAAGTTGGCAGGGCGAGAATGAAATCAATTGTCAAGGTATGAAATGGCACAGGCGGGGTAAGAATGGGCTGCAGAGATCCATGTGGCAGATGCCGAGGTGTCTGATAGAGCTGGCATTGAGGACAGTGTCGAATATACCCCGTAGCTGGCGGAGGCTGCGTATGTACCATTGGCGAGATATGCCTCGTAGCATTTGGCGAATCCGGCATGACAGGACACTGGAGGGGCGACTTCGAAAAAGGTTTGCACACAGGAGGGTGGCACACAGAGTCGACTCGGCGTGAAAGCATGGTCGCCGGTCGATGCCTCGACTTTCCATATGAGACCGTCGCTGCCCCGGGAAAAAGGAAGAGAAGCGGCGTCCTCGCCGGCGGTCATGGAGTCAAGCGTTTTGAGATCTTGTGCCATCCTGAGTCCTTCTGGTAACCGTCGAGAATCTGTTGACGTAGCTCCGGGCTACTCCACAGGTGGTAGCGGTGTAAGCGCAGCCATATAAAGCATCGAGCCCCCGATGGTATCTTGATCGGAAGCTGCTGCTTCGGTAGCAGCGGAGTTCGGAAGCCTTGACAAAGCGTCTGGTACGATATGTTCCCTTCCCGGTTTATGACGGAACTCGAGATTTCGGAAACGCTGGATGAATTCTGATGCTCGGATAAGGCGAAGATTTAATTTGGCCGTTGAAGACGTAGATAGGGACGTCTGTTTGATATACCGAGCGGAGCCGTATCGGTGTAGACCACTGTCTTCGGCGCCGACCGACCATATGCCTCGTTTTCCGAAGTACCCACACGATCCCAGCGATTTCGAGTTCCGTAGGCCAGTATCTTGTTTCGGCGTCCTTGAGAAGGCGGCTAAGAACAAGATCGGCTGAACGAGAGCGTTTGGGGTAATCACCGACAAGCTCCCTTTATGGGTAAATCATGGCGCCAAATCCGAACTTGCTAGCATCAAGGTCCACGTAAAGTACGGCCTTATCATCAAAATGGACTAGGAATGATGGGGTCGACAGTGCCTGCTGCAGCGCTTGAAAAGCAGCTTTCTCGGCATTAGTTGGTAGGCCAAGAACGGAGCGAGAAGCAAATTTTCCTTCTTGCCCGGCTCTAGGAGACGCAGCAAGCATCATGGTTTTCCGGTCTTGAAGAGGCTTTGCTATGACAGCATAGTTGGCGATGTAATCACGTAGCCAACCTGTCATTCCCAAGTAGGTTTCCAGCTTGGAAAGGGTTTCCGGAAACGAGAGCTTAGCAATTGCTTGCAATTTATCCTCGGCGGTCCAAAGTCCGAGGGAATCGACTTTCTGTCCAAGCAGTGCACTGATGGATAGCCGAGAAATGCCTTCTTAGGATTCACGGATATCCCTGACTTCACGAAGAGACCGAAGATCTGACGAAGATGGTCGAGATGCTCTTCCAAGGTCCTTGAATAGACAACGACGTCATCGACATACGCTCGGCAAATCGCCGAACTTGCGAAGAGTCTATCTATCTGTCTCTGCACGTAGACGGCGAATTTTGTAGCCCATGACTGCTACGTTGAAAGTCTCCTGACCGCGATGACTTACGACCGTAAGTTTATGGCGATCGGTGGGATGCACGCGCCACTGATAAAAGAAACTTGCGCAGTCGACAACGCGAGATATCGACAGCCCTTACTGATGATATTAAATCTGACGCAAAGGTAAAGGTAGACATCTGTTTGGGAATACATCAATCCCCGAATGTCAACGACGGCCGTCCTTTCTGAACCGTCGGGCATGATCGTAGACAACGAAAACCGGGAGCGAGGCGTTGCCGGAGTCCAGCCAGCCTTCCTGCCGGAAGTTGTCGAACGTTTTATCAACGACGTCTTGGATTCGGTGCGAGAGGGAAACCCTCGCGTCCGCTGACATTCTTCCCAGTCAGATTCAGGGAATGCGCATCCATTCTGCTCCGGAAATCGGCGAAGCCGCCTTCGCCAGAGCGTGGGAATTCCTCGACCACTCCCTTGATGGAAGGACTATCGTTATGGATCGTGACCCCATTCAGCAAGATTGTGTCCGTGGTCGTGGTGGTGACCGTTACTTCCGGAACCGGATGGAAGGAAGTTACGGAAGCAGGAACCCCAGGGATCCCGGAAATTTCAGAGCTTCCCGGAATGCCAGGATCTCCAGGAATGCTGAGGAATCCCGTAGGGGATCCGGCAACAGGTGCCACGTCAGAAGTCGCTGCTTTTGCCGACAGCGGCGCTGTGGAACATGCGGCGGTTGCTAGCATAGCAACGGCAGATGCTGTGACAATCTTGTTGAAGACGCGTTTGATCCAGCCCTTCTGATGTTCGTTCTTGGGTCGACGACCAGCAAGTTCGACGACGTCTTCCTTCCCGGATGTGATATGGTAGCAGTTATCAAATTCTGCTTCCTGTACGGTGCCCAAGCGAAGATTTCTAGGCACCTTAACTGCTCGGTCCGAGTCATTCTTGGCTAGCACCGCAGTCATGGAGGAGTCGACGAGATGAGCGTAAAGCGTCAGGTCTATGTGATCTGGTTCGAAGAAAAAATCACGTTCTGGTAAAGAAGCATGATGCACCGGTATCTGCATCTGAGAATGTGGGGGAATGGTAATGGATTTCTTGACATGCACGGGATGTGTGACGGCACGGCCTCCTCTGGTGCGAACTTCTATCGGCACGGACATCTGACAGCTACCAATTGATGCCCTCGATTGAGATACGAGAATATCGATCCCTTCAGGCACCATAATATCCATGCCGACTAGGATATTTGCTTTGAGCTCGTCGACGATGTGGATTTCCCTCGGCGACGTCATGGCTATGGCGTCTTCACTGGGGAAGTAGAGACTACATATTCCTTTCATGTCTGTTAGACCCTAAACCCCTCACCGTGATAGGGCTAGCCATGTTCTTGACTGGTAGACTCGGGAACGCTCTGCTTAGGTAGGCCCGGTCCATCAGGGTGACGGAGCAGCCTGTGTCCAAGCAGCCCTTTTCGGCTTCCTTATCGAGCAGCAGCTTGACAGCAGCTCTTGCGTAGTGGTAGTTGCGAAAGCATGGCCGGTGCCGACCTCAGGGTGTCAGCTGACGACTGATGACTTCCTGGCGGAACCTTGTTCTTCGGGATTAGACTCGCGAGGTTCTCTGGTAGGAGGTTCCTCGGTGGAAGGACGAGGATCTCAGACGATTCCTCGGTGGAAGGATCCTCGGCTCGGAAGAAATTTCCGAGCGTTCCTGGCGGAAAGCCTGGGCATGAGGAAGGCTAACGGTCTCACCTGGGTTGCCGAGGTGGCAAGCCATAAGTTAATATTGCTAACAAAAATTTGATGTTCGTAGTTAAGAAATTTAATTACTTTTCGAATAGATAAGACTTTCTCGATTTAGATCTTAGTAGTACTTTTTAAAAGTTATTAATAGAAAGAAAGCTAGCTTTAAGCTTTTTAACTAGTAAGTATTATCTGCTAAGGCGCTATAATAGCGCCATCTTCTATTATATTCATAATACCCGCTATTCTACGATTTCCTCTTTTCTATACTTTTTAAGATTCTATATATTTAGAATTTCTATAGTATAATATCCCCTATAATATAAAAGTTTCTACACTTTTAGAATTCATATACTTTCAGAGTTTCTATACTTTCAGAGTTTCTGTACTTTTAAAGTTTCTATACTTTTAAAGTCTCTTTACTTTTAGAATCTCTATAGCCTTAGAATTCTTATACTCGTATTTACTAGAATTATAATCTATTAGAATTTATAATCTTTAAAATCTAATTCTTATAATTTATTATTTTATAATAATATAATTTAAAACTAGAAAAAAAAGTTAAAAGAATATAAAATATAATTATTATAATTTTAATTTTTTTTATAATTAAGCTTAAATTAATAAAGTTATATAGTAATATATTAAGATATAATTATCGAAGTTTATTACGCTATTATATAAATTAATTATTATTACCTCGATTTTAAAAATTCTTAAAACATTTAAATCGTATTTCATATTCTTTTCGAATTTTTTTTCGAATTTTTTATTATAATATTATAAAATAATAAATTATAAAGATTAAGTTTTAGAGATTACAAATTCTAATAGATTATAAATTCTAGTAAATACGAGTACTATTAGAGTCTCTATACTTCTAAAGTCTCTACTTTTTAGAATCTTACAATTTGATAATCTTAATAGTATAAAAGTTCTTATACTTTTTTAAATCCTACACCTTTAGAATTCTTATAGAAAAAAATTCTCTATAATATAAAAGTCTCTATACCTCTTAGATCTTTATACTTTAAGAATCTCTATACTTTTAGAGTTTCTATACTTTTAAGTTTCTCTCTCAAATCTCTAAAGTCTGTAATTTCAAAAATATATTTAAAGATTTCTACGCTATAAAGATTTCTATAAGCCTCTAATCGACGTTCTATATTTATACTCTTTTAAGAAATAAGAATATATCTTAATAGTTATTATTACTAAAGGTATTATAATAGTAAGAAATCGAGTTTATTACGAGTATATTCTTAATATATTACTTAGCCCTATAGCTAGCTAGCCTTAGCGAAGATATTTCCTATTATAGTATATCTTCTTTTCACATATATAGTTCGGTAGCCTTATTATTCTATTCTATCTTACTTATATAACGTATCTCTATACTAGTTCTAATAGAGTTTATGAGAAGAATCTTTAGAAGATATAAACTTATATAATATATTACATTAGCGATAGCGTATACTAAAAATCGTTTATTCTATTAGGCGTGATTTATCTTATTAGCTACGATGTATTCTATTTAAAGTGCTAAAAATCCTAGAAAACTTCTCGAGAAGTCTCTTAAGATTCAGTTCGCTGGTGTAGATAATATGTGCTAGGGCGTATTCTTTCCAGTAGTAAAAAGCTTGCCAAGTACTAGATTTTAAATTCTTAGAGAGATTCTCTAAAATCTCTCGGACCCTTCGAGGGGCTCTTTAAGGGCTCTTCGAGAGCTTCTATTAAGGGGCTGTTAAAGCAAGCTCGAAATTTAATTATTTTAATAATATTTGATTAATTTCGAGCTTGCTTTAACAACCCCTTCGATAGAAGCTCTCGGAGAGCCCTTAAAGAGCTTCGAAGGATTTAAGGGATTTTAAGAGATCTAACTCTAAGAATGGAGAGAGACGTTATATTTCACTAAGAATCGAGAGAGACGTTATAATTTATTTAATATACTTAGAGGAAGACCCCCTAAAACCCCTCTAACCCTCCGAGGGCTCTCCGAGGGCTCTCCGAGAACTCTCCGAGGGCTTCTATCGAAGAGGCTCTTCTCGCAAGCTCGATAATTCACTAATTCTTAGTATATCTTTACGAATACTTTATTAAATTTCGTCTACGCTATATTATTTAAAAGCGTATAATTAACTCTATAACTTTATAAACTTACTTTATTATCAAATTTTTAATAAAAGAAAAGAAATTAAAAAAGGTAGATTTAAGAATTTTGAAGTTCTTTTCCAGCTTCCTCTTTTAGATATACCCGTGCGTACCCGCTTCTAGCTTAGAAACGAAGAAATAAGATAAGTTTTAGCTTTAAAATTACGAAATCTGAAGATCTAATTAGTCAACTTTAAATTTATAATTTCAGTCTTAAGTAATAAGAAAGTAAGCTTTCCAATTAACGTAATTTGTTAGCCGATATTAAAGAGATTTAGTAAGAATTTTTAAAAGAATAATTTAAAAGAAATTACGCGTTAAGTATTATATTTAGAAATCTTACTATTAAACTTAATAAGAAATATTAAAAATCGCTGAATTTTTAACATTTCCTCCTTCTTCGACTATAAGTCGATAAAATTATTTTAAAATATCGCAAATTATAGAATAATATAATTTAAATCTCTTATCAAAAAAGCGCAATTTTTAAATCGCTTTACGTAATAAAATAAATTAACTTATAATTAAATTATAAGTGAAATTATCTGATTTCTTTTAAATTACTAATTCATATTATAAAGTAGTAATTTAAAAGCGAGTCGAAAACTTGCCTATTCGGGTAACTTTTTTTGTTAAGCCTAGCAGTGAGATTTCTGAATGTGGCACTTAACGCGTAATTCCTTTTGAATCATTCTTTTGAAAATTCTTGCTAAACCTCCCTATTAGACCTGCAAAACATTACTAACCAGGACTTATAAAGGTCGTAAAGGAATCCTCAGCATACGTTTCCGGCTATCCTAGGACTTTGCTTGATGCCGATCATCAAAGCATGTGTAAGTTAGAGACAACACCGATAATAACTATAAACGGCTGTCAGGGTTGCTGGCAAACAATCAAGGCGATCCCCATCCCGCCCTTGCTCCTTCGATTGATGCGAAACTACCTGTCCTCATCTTCCGAATTTTTTTACTCTTTAACACCTTTTCCCTTTGGCTTCTTGAACACGGGCTCAGACGTCTGAGAGGAAGGGAGTCTCGGCTCAGTCTCCTGTGAGTAAGAGGCGGTCAACTGGCTGCCGTCTTGTTCGAAGGACTCAGCGTTTGACTGTTAGGAGAAGGGCTCAACGAGGAAGACTTCTGGGTCGGGAAGCTGATCAGCTGCGGAAGTAATTCTATCGTGGTGGATTCCACGAAATTCGTCGTAAACGTTCAGTGTGAACGTGTAGGTAGTCCACTTCTCTTTGCCGTCTTGGTCAGTAATACTGAATTCTCGGATTAAATGGCGGTAGAAGGAGGTATCTTTTCCGTTAATTAGGACGTAATGACCATAGATCCTTACAGCCCGATGGTCATGCGAGACCGAGAAGGTAAGAATCTTTCCGTGGAGTTCGTCTTGACGCGACACCGTTCTGTATATCTCGACCACGGCGTTCGCTGCAACGCTGGCACTATGGGCGTTTTGCCGATCGGCGATGTTGAGAGCCTCGTTGCCGCATTTCACCTCCGAAGTGAGGAACGGAAAATACATCTCGTCGGTGGCCACAATGCGAGATGTAGTCTGCCAGTCGCCAACATAAGGATTGAGCTTCTTGAGTTGGTCCGCGGTAAATGCGGACGGTTTGAATCCCACGGAGAAGTCGGGTTGCGGGCGTGGACCGTTCACAAGAGGGATAGATTTGATCCAGCTTTCATCGACATTTTGGATCAAGTGCTTGAGGTGTGTAGCACCACGACGAGCCAATTCTTCTGGAGCAGGAACGATCAAACGGCCAATGTCCTGAATTACTCTAGCCTCATTCCGGTTTGCTATATCTTCACAGGTCGATTCAAACAGATCATCTTCAAACATAGAGTCTCTAGGGATTGACTGTTCTGTATCGAGCAGTTTTCGACACAGAGCCTTATCAACGTCGATAACTCGCAGGTGCGATTCTGGCTGGCCCATGTAGATACCGACAGATTCAAGTATCTGCTGATAGCGCCGACTCTTGACAGCGGGATTTTTCCCTTCTCTGAGTGAAATACCACTAAGATCCGATTGTTAGTTGCTGAGAGAGGGGGCTGACCGTTTCCTGGTGAGTGATTGACTCATATTACTATCTTCGAAATATTCCCGAGGCCAGTTCCCTTCTTGAGCCCAATGATGAAGATGGGTGTTGCTATTGCTGGTACTATTGACACCTGCCTGGCTTAATATGTCCTTAACAGCAACACTTGCGAGTTGAGTCCGCTGTCGCTTCTGGCCAGGCTCGTCCTTGTGTTGAGGGAGTGGATGATCAACCTCTCCAGCTTCGGTCTTGTAATTCTGACTAGATTGGTGGCTTCGTTTTCGCTTTCGATCAGGACTTGGAGATCTGACGGAGACCGATGAATCTCGTGGGGACTTCGGCTCTAGTCAGCCTTACGTAGCCAAGTAGGAGAAAGGACAGTAGAACATGCCTCTAAATTATCAGGAGTGTTACTCGTAGGTGAGAGTAGTTGATGTACTTGCTCTTGGCTCTCCAGTTGCCGAGGGAGACGTTGTGTCTCTTCTAGACGTACACTTTTGCGGAATGGCGTGAGGGACTGCTTTCGCTGAATACCACGGGGACATACTGCTGTAGACTGTCAGCTCGAGGAGGTTGGGGTATAAGAGAGCATTTTTACCCTGGGCGTTCAACTGATCCAGCCCTGAAGATTGCCGCCCGTATCTTTTGACATTTGACTTTGCTCGTGGTGGGAACATGTCGACTGGGAATGAGAAGGGGGAGAAAGGCGTCTTTATCCCCGCTGGTACGTTGTAGGATGGTGTGTTACGAAGACGGCGATGGAAGGTGTGTGCGGTTGGCAGCCACGAAGCCTTGGCGACAAGAAGCTATACTCGTATTTAGGGCTAACTATCGCAGCAAATTACAGTCTACCTGGGCTATAACGATATATCGTTTCATGGAGATAGTATCGTTACAACCAAATTATCGTTAAGCCTAGATTTGCACTAATTACTACTGAAATACGCCTGAATCGATGCCTACTTTTGCGCAGAAGCCTTACGAGCCCTGATCTCTCTTTCATATCGATTTAGACGTGTGATTAGTACATCATCGCCGTCGTTTTGTTGTTCCTCGTATAATTGTAGACGTTCCAGTAGCTTTAGGGCCTCTGAATCCTTGACACGAGGTATCAAAATGTCCTCTTTATCAGTCTCGTAAGCCCGTTCTTCATGACTGTAGGTAGCTGCAATGGTAGCTTTTATACCTCAGTCAATGCTAAAAAAAATACCATTAGCGTACTTACAAGGTGGCTGAGCCAGATTTGTATGGTAGCCACACCAAAATAAGGCGCGACGATGCTGACACCTTACTGTCGCTGCCGCTGTCGCCGGAGACCTCTCTGTACCCGCTGGCATTGCTATTGGTTAGGGCGGGATTTGTATGGGAGGTGTAGCGGAGTTTGCGTTACAATGAGAGACCTCGCTGCCGCCTCTCATGGGGCGGAGAACGACTCAGCAAGGCTGGGCGGGATTTGAGTGGGAAGACGTCGTTACCGTTACGGTATCTCAGGACTATCAGAGCGGAATCTAATGAGAAGATCGTCGCTATCGTCCTAATATTTCTAGCGTCTCGAGACGAAATCTATCTCGTCGTCGCTTTAAAGGGGTTCTATTAGGGGCTTAGCTAGCTATCTAACCCTTATTCTCGCTATCTACTAAGACCTTTACAGAGTTAATAAGCGCCTACAATTTAGACACGTTATAGCCGGCATTGATAAGATCCTCTAGAGTTAATTAAACTTCCTATTAACGAATTAGTCACTCGATTGGTTACTTAATTCAACGTGCCCTACGATCAGCTTCTATATCGCTATAATGAGATCCCCCTCAAAGATAACCACTCTTACGCGCTCACAGATTCTGAAAAATAGATTCTTTATCAATACATATAACGGCTCGATAGATCGGGAATGTCTTATTGTCGTCCGATGTTTATAAAAGTTGCAATTTTTTTTAGATCTACTCGTTGAGCGAGAATTAGATATTATTTAACGAGCTGTAATAGCCCGAGCAACTCGAAAAGTAAAATCAATACGATGGTTTAGAAGAGAGGTGTTATTATTCTCATTAGGCCCGGTCTTAGGTCATTGCACGCAAGGAAACAAAAATTGAAAGGACTTTAAGGGCTTTGAAGTGGGTAAATACTACATAAACAAAAGAGATTTGCCGGGTGACATAAGCACGATTACACGATTTAGCCTATTAAGCAGACCCTATGCCAACCCTTTCCGCCAGTTCTGCCAGTTTAGCAACTTCAAAAATTTTCAGCAACTTCAAAAATTTTGCGTAATGCACTCTAATACACCTAAGTACTATTCTACATATGGCATCAATATATATCATTATCAACAGCGTATCATTGTGCGCCATATCAGAGCATCACCCACGCGACTAATTTCATTAAATCGTCCAATCCGTAGCCAAATTTGAGTTAACGTTGATACTCGTCGCCGTAGAACCTTGCCGTCACAACGTCGATCATTAGAACTTTCTTTTTCGTGCGTATTGCTGCTAAACTGGCAGAACTGGCGGAAAAGATTAAGATAGTTGCTGAACCGGCGGAATTTTAGCTGATTTTGAGATAGTTACTGAACCGGCGGAATTCTTAATTTCAGCCCTATTCGCAAGATCAGCAATTTGAAATTTAGCAGGAACTTTTCAGATTTGCGATGTAAGGAGTCTCGGGTATATAATATATTTACAAATAAGAACATTAAGTGGTTTAAGGCTACTACATAAAGGGTTAGAAAGTTGATTAAGATTAAAGCAATCAAAAAGGTTGAAATAGACTATAGTAGCCCTAAATAAATATGTATGTGGGTGGGTAGGTAGATTAATTGAAAAAATTGGTGTTGGGGTGGCCTTAGCGTTGGGGTGGCCCATACTAAGTGTAGCGTGTTCCCATACGATTACGCGTAGCAGCGACCTAAAAAAAAAATAATAAAAATACATTGGTCATCGTCGAACGCTTGGCGTTCGACGATGACCAATGTATTTTTATTTTATTTTTGCGCCACCGAAACCACCCCACCCCTCCTGTTTATTCTTCATACTACCATCGCAATCAAAATCCACACACCCAATTGGCCTCATACGTCTGCTCCCAGCTCATTCCTACGATACCAATCATGGGACGCCCCAAGAAAGATGTAGAGTCGCATAGAGAATTCATCCTGAGCCTTCATGACCAAGGCACCGAGTACCAAGAGATCCTACGAATACTATCCACTCAGCGCGGCCTCAGCATCAGTCGTGATGTGCTTATGAAGAACCTACGGGCCTGGGATAAGAGACGCTATGATGCACCACCCTGCAGAGACGAGAAGCTTCGCAATAGTCTCATTATGTTCCTGTTTCTGAAGCAGAACGCAAATGATGAAGAGATTTTGGTGGACCTGGAGTCTCGGGACCTGGCTGTGACTCCAAGGAAGCTCCGACGGTTGAGGATAGACATGGGGTTGAGAAGAAGACGCAAGTTGAAGGATGCTCGGTTTCAAGATGAGGAGATTATACGCATCATGAAGGAGCATTTGAACGAGGGTGTCATTGGTGACTGGGGCCTCACGCACCTCTACGCATACTTCCGCCGCAATAGTATCATTATCTCAAGAGACGATATCATGTACGGCTTGAGAGTGGTGGATCCCGCCGGTGTTAATCGTAGATACCAGAAGAAACAGCATAGAAGGAAGAAGTTTTTGGTAGAAGGACCCAATGCTATTTGGTCAATTGACGCCCACTGCAAGCTAGAGATCGTGGGCATTCAGATTTACGCCGTCATTGATGCATACTCCCGCAAAATCATCTGGATCTATGTGGGGATTTCCGCACGTACAGCTGTCAGTGTCGTTAAGCAATTTCTGGAGTTCATGGAAGAGCACAAGATCATGCCAGATAGGTTTTGTTCACATCGAGGTACTGAGACCATTCTCATTGCGGACGCATTTCATCAATTATGTGGAGCACAGGAAGACCGATCAGAAGAGGACCGTGCTATTGATAGGTGTTGGATGTTTGGCAAAAGCACCGCTAATCAACGCATTGAAGCATGGTGGATGCAATTACAGTCCTCCATGCTAAATCGCTGGGTAATCTTCTTCGATCTACTGAAGGAGGAAAAGCATTTCAAAAAGGATAAGCTTGCAGATATGATCGCTGTGTAGGTTTCTCTATAAACCTCGTTTGGTGGCGTTTCTTTGCGGGGGTCTAGAATGCTTGTTTCTTTTTCGACCAAGATACCGTGAAGAGTAAGGATACTTCGAATATTACTCTTTCGAATGGCCCCCAGGCCAGCACGCATACTTGGAAGAAAAGAGACACCGGCTAGTATGAGTCGTACTAGCTCCATTACCAAGGACCAGGCTGTCAAGAATAGTAAGCCTCATGCTGGTAGCCGGGCTACATTCTCAACTTTTGCCACTGACCGTACCAAATCCAATGATAGTGGTGTCACAGCGTCTAATACCAAGACTGTCATAACACCTCGCCATCAGTAGTATGATCCAGCAAGCCAATATGATCTGGAGCCATTATATACTGGGAACCATATGTGGGGTACGTACTTGCTACTGCTGCTATGATAGCTTGTATCTAACAAGCTTAGGCTCAATGTCATTGAAGTTGTGGGACAAAAGACTGCCCGCGGACGGTATCGATCAATGGATTAAGGAAGATATCCTTCCAGAGGGCCACAGGTGGGACGATATCATCTACGATCCTCGAGTGACTCACCATTGGATTTGTTCCACCATCGATGGCAAAGGCCCTCTTTCTACCCCACGTCGCTTTGCAAACAGCGTCTACAATTCCTCGTTTGTAAGCGACCTTCTCCAAGCTTGCAGGGAAGAGAAAGGTGAGCGCGTGCTTATTATAGTATGCGAAATACCGGATCCCAAGCACGGGCAGGTAGAGGATAGTCCTGTTAAGACGAAGGCGGGTAAGAATGAGCCGGAGTCGAAGAAGGATAAAGGTAAGGGTAAGGGTAAGGCCAAAAGCGAGCCTACAAAGGAGGACAAGCCTGCACAATCCTCGTACGCGTAAAGGAAAGGAACAGTTGAAAGAGTACATGGAAGAGGTCGCCGAAGATACTAGTAGTATCAAGCGGGAGCGAGTCGAGGAGGATGATCTTGAGGTCAAAGAGGAAGACAGCAATTAGGGTGGGAGTGATTAAGAAGAAGGTGAAGAGGTATAATCTATATATTCGTGAAAGCTTCTTATTTACTAACTATTCAAGGTCAACGCGAGTCATAAGAGGAATGCTTCTCTTATAACAGTGTCTCCTAGCAAAGGCCGTGATAGGAAGAAGCCTGCTAAGAAGCCTAGTGCTTGATGAACAGGTAGTAGTTGAGATATCCCAATTTGTAGCCAGTAGTGGCGATGTCTTTCTTGACCTGCGATGCTTACATGCGGAGTTTAAGCTCGCTACCACCATAATACGCCCTGGGGTCGCTCTTATTTGGCAGGGTAGCGCAAACCCTCAGTTGGCGTTCATCTGATCTTTTTCTATTAGCCTCATTCTTATCATGTGCGCTGTTCGAACCGATGGTGATATGACCTCACCATTACAGCTAACCGTCCACCACCCATATCGGACCGAGCTATAAGTCCTAGCTACCGCCGGGTATACTCTTTAAAACCATACAGCACATATCGCCGTCGCCGTGCCTCGTCGACTAGCCGAGATCTCTGCTAACCTACTTACTTGCTTGCTTGCTTGCTTACTTGCTTGCTTGCTTACTTACTTGCTTACTTGCTTGCTTACTTGCTTGCTTACGTTGCTACAACGATAGGCACGGCATTCCAGAGCATGAAAAGAAATGATGTCTGGAAGCCTGTTTGAGAGCCTGTTAGCCATGGCCTGGCAAATACCGGGCAAATACAAGTGGGATGTGGGCATTGTGAGACAGGTTTAGCAATGTGATTCAAAAGAATGATTCAACACGAAAAGGTTGAATCACTGTTTTATGTTATGAAACAGTGATTCAAATGCATAGTTGCCTAGTTAGGTTTTCGCACCGTAGTTTCTCCGGGGTGTAACCCCCGGAACCCCCTAAAGTCTACCCATCAGATAATTACGTGTAATACCCTTTGGGGTAATTCACTTTCTTGCCTTATTGAGTAAATTTAGGCAGCTGCTACGCGTATAGCCCCTGTCTACTAGGCGTACAGCCCCTATTCATTAGGCGTACAGCCCCTATCTACTAGGCGTACAGCCCCCCTAATGGGGTTAGCGGCCGCGCGGAAGCTAACGGGATCTAACCGGAAATGGTAAAGAACCCGCATCTAGTCTCTTCGAGATTCTTGCGGAGATGCTTGATGGTAGTAGGATAAGCCTCTCTATATCTCTAATTTAAGCGAGTATAATTCGTTAATAATATAAAAAATTAAGAATTATACTTATCTTTATTTTAAGAAAGCTAAAATATAAAGTATTATATATACTAATTAAAATATTAAACTTACTAAATATTTTAAATAGATAATTATATCGTTATATAATTAAGTTATATTATTAAAATTCTATTAATTCTATTAATTTTACTAAATTAATTATTAATAGTTTATTTATAATTTAAAATATTCTATTAGTATTAGCTTCTAAATCTTTAAAAGCTTTTTAAAAAAGAGAATTAAATTCTTATTATTAAAATCTTATTATTAAAATCTTATTATTAAAATCTTATATATATAAATATTTTAAATTTTAATCTTTAAATAAATAATATAAAAATAGTATTAATTTCTCTATAAGAAGAAGATTTATATATTTATAATAATTCTATTTTCTATAATTCTATTAGAAATTATTTATATTTAATATTTTTTTTATTATATTTTTTTTTTTTTAATTATATCGCTTATATCTATTATAGCTCTATAAATAAATACTTTTAATTTTTTATATAAAAATCTAAGATTTAAAAATAATAGTTAATTAATATTAATAAGATCTTTAAAATATTTCATAACGATTAAAATATTTATTTTACTCTTATTATTTTATTAAATAATAGTTTTATTAATTTCAAATTTAAAGTTAGCGAAGATACTCTTAATTTTTTAAGCGATATTAAATTATTTATTATATTAAGATTTTTATTTTATTTACTTTAAAATTATTCTTAGAATTTTTCTTTAAATCCGCTATTTTATTTAAAATAATAATACTAAAATAATGAATATATTATTATTATCATTATTATTATTATTATTATTATTATTATTATTATTAATATTATTATTATTATTATTATTATTAGTATATATAAAAGAATAAGATAGGGCTGAGCTTGAAAACCTTGAATTTGTATGTGCAGCCAATCATAAATTCGGGTCCTGTACGCTTTTTGGCTAGACCGGCTGAGTCATCGCGGGTAAATAAATTAGCGTCCGCAACCATCAAAATCTCGCCCTCCCCCGCGCGCGCCTCCTCATCAAAAAATAGGTACATATTATTTGATTTGAGAATAACTTTTTTGTTTTCTATTAAAATTTTGAGATTTTTTTTTTAAATTATAAAATAAACCTTTTACTATAATAATAGATATTTATTTATTAAGTATTTAATATTATAAATAAATACATTCATAAATATTATATTATAAAGTATTAAAAGATTATTTCTTATATTAATTTTATTATACTCGATATCTTAGATATCTATCTAAATAAATTTATTTATAATAATCTTATAGAATCTTTATCTCTATTAATTTATTAATTATAAATACTTTATTATATTAATATAAAAATAACTTTATCCTATATTTTAAAGTTTACTGTATTTATTATAAAAGTAAAATCTTTATTATATTTTTATAATTTAAAATTTGTCTTAAATTAAATAGTTATAATTTTAATTTTAATTATTTTAATGACAAATTTTTTTTCTTCTAAAGTCTTTCTCAATTATCTGACTTCATTAAATATTAAATGAAAATTTATTATTTCTAATAATTTCTAAATAAATAATATAATTAAGTATTTTAGATAAATTTTACTATATAAAATATATTCTATTCTGTTAAAATATGAATATTATCTCGATTAAGCTCTTTCGAGTATATTATCTTTTTAACATATTTTACTAAGTTTCAAATTTAATAAAATTTTTTGATCTAAAAATATTATTATTATTAATAATCTATTCTTTTATTTATATAGAATTAATTATATTATGTATATATTAAAATAATTTTAAAAAGAGGCTTATAAACTAAAGTAAAAAATATATATTATGAAAATATAAAAGAGAGTAGATTTTTCGAGTTTAAAATTTTATTAAAAAGATAATTATTTATATTCATAATATATAATTTATAATTATAAATTTAAAGAAAGAATTCTAATCTTTTAATTTTTTAAATTAATAATAATATTTTATTATATTAATATTCGTTATAAAGATAATATTAAATAAATAGCGTACTATTAATATTTTAAAAGATATTATATTTATAATTAAAATAGCTATTAAATTTTTAATAATTTCGATATTTTTAATATCTTTATAATTAAAATTAGATTTTTCATCGCTAGTTAATAAGCTAGCGCTTTTATAAAAAAATTATAATTTTTTTAAATACAATTTATAAATAGAATAAATATTATAAAATTTTCTAATAGAAAATTAAAGAATAAATCTTATAATTTTGAAATTATATTTATATTAATATTAATAATTTAATCTACGCTATCTATACAATATTTTTTTTAATTTTAATATTTTTATTATTATTATTAAACTCATTAATATTATTTATAAAAGTTATAATTCAAACGCTATTCAAAGAATATTATATAATAATTTAAATTTTATAATTTTAGATATATAAGATTTACTTTATTCTTTATTTTTTTTATAAAATTTTATAAAATTTAATTCTATTTATAAATTATATTAATAAATTAAATATTTTTTAATTTATTATTTATAAGTAGATTATATCTAATTAATTGTTGAAATAAATTAAAAATTTATTATATAGAATAAATATAAATCTCTTACCTATAAATAAAAATATTTAATATCTTATTTAAGCGCTTTTAGAAGCTTATATTCTAGAGAATATTTATATTTTAAAATAGAATTTTAATAAAGAAATTATTCGCTATAATATATACTAGATTATTTAATAATTTAAGCAATTAAATAGTTATAATTATTATAATTTTTCGCGTTAATAATAAAATTTATAAATTATAAAGTAAGATAATCTTTATATTATAATATTAGCCTCTTCGACTATCGCATATATATCGCGTATTATTAGAGTTAGTAATTACTAGCTACTAGTTATTAGCCATTTATTTTATATATATAAATATTCGTATATTCTATAAATTAATAACTACCTTTAGTCTTTTAGTTTTAATTAGTCTCTAATATATCTAAAATTCTTCTTTTAATACTTTATACTTATAATATTTAAAATTTAAAATTTAAACTAAATTAATATTAAAACTATCTTTTTATATATATTAACTTCATAATTTTAATAAAAATGATATTAAGATTTAAAATAATTCTTCTAAATTTAAATTTAATATTTTTTAAAGTATATAAAAAGCTAAGTTTTCTCTCTATTGAATTAAATAAAAATAAAAGTATTGATATAATTTAAAGCGAAAATTAGTATAGTACTCTATATTAATAATATATTAATTAATAATTTAAATAAAATTAAAAATTAATAAATCAAGAATAAGCTTAATATAAAATTTTATATATTAAAATTAGAATTAAAAATCTAATATTTAAATATATTTATTAAAAGAAATCACTATAACAATATTCTTTATCTAAAAAAAAAAATTTACATTATTTAATTTTAAATTATTTTAATTATTAAAATCTTACCTTATCTTTATATAAATATCTTTTAAAAGTAATTATAAATTAACTTTTATTAAAGAGAATTACCTTAGGGGAAATACACGATAAGAGTATATCACGTGACTATATCATTGACTCGATATTTGTTACAACTTTCAATCAACTTTTCATTAATGTTAAGTTTTCTATAATAGTAAATTATCGG